GCTTGGGGACTTTCTGCCTGTCCTAGCTGGCTAGCAGGGGGCTGTGCCCTGGGGCAAAGAAAGCCAAAACCCAGCCAGGCAAGAGAGGCCTTGGGGACACAAAGTTAGTATTCCCAGGGCTCTGCTCAGACTGCCCAGAAAGCAGGATTGACTATATGGTTTGTGGGCTCAGCACAAAATAGAAATGTGGAGCCTCTGGTGGAAAACTTATTAAGACTTTTAAGACAGCAACAGCAGAACATTAGACCCTGTTCAGGCCCCATGAGACGGCACAGATGCCATGCCAGTGAAGGACAGGGTTAATTACGGGGGAGGGGGAAGAAGGGTCATTTCCAAGTCTCTAATGGTGCAGTTTATAAGGTAGAAGTGGGAGAGAGGATTATTCATCATAGCCAAAATTCATAAATAACCCAAATGTTCATCAAGTGATGGATGGACAAAGTGTGGCATAGACATACAAAGGAATATTATTCAGCCATTAAAAGGAACAAGATGCTGATAAATGCTACAGCACGAATGAACTTTGAAAATATTAGGTTAAGTGAGTGGTGCGGACACAAACAGTGTATGATTCTATTTGCATGAAATGTCCAGAATAGGCAAATCTATAGAGGCAGAAAGTAGATTAGAGGTTGCCTAGGGCTGAGAAGGTAGGAGAGGGAGTTGGGAGGTGATGGCCAAATACCAAGTTTCTTTTAGGGTGATACAAATGTTCTAAAGTTGTGGTGGTGGTTTCACAACAATGTGGACACACAAAAAAATCACTGAATTGTATACTTTAAATGGGTGGATTGTATGGCATGTGAATTCTATCTCAATAAAGCTGTTATCAAAATAAGAGGAGAGGGAGGGGAGAAGGGAGAGGAAAAGCAGGAGAGGGAGGGAAGGGGAAGGGGAAGTTAGCTGAAGTATCTTAAATTCTTCTCCCCCCCCCCCCCCCCCGCCAAATTATCTTTATGCTGGAAGTCTCCCTTGTCTATGAAGGTTTGGGGAGACCTAGCGTCTCAAATCCAATAGCCCTGGTCCTCTTCCCTGGTTGCCGGGTGAGGGTGATGGTGGGGGTCTTGTCCTTCCTCCAGTGGGTATGGTCTTGGGCGCAGCGACGTGCAATGAATGAAAACAGTCCCAGCTCTGGAGCCAACTGTATGTTCGAATCCTAGCACCCTGACCGTCCTTTCTCGTCTATGTGACCCTGAGCAAGTCACTCCACGTCTCTGAGCCTCATTCTCCCCAGCCTAGCAGTCGGAATAAGAGGATCCGCGCTGAGGTCCGTGAGAGCGCATGGCACACCCCGTAGGCGCTGAACAAGGGCGGGAATGAGAAGGATTTGGTGCCAGCTGAGCCACCTGTATGAAGGGCGTCCAGGGGCAGGAAAAATCCGGTGCCGCGGAGACCGCCCGGACTCTTCCGGAGCCAAGGGCGAAGTCGGCGGCCCTCAGAGTCGCCCCCCGCCCCCAACACCCGGCCCGGAAGGAAGCCCGGGCGGCGGAGGGGCCCAGCGGCCTGGCCCGGCGCGGAGGCGGAGGCCGGGAGCCCGGCGCGCAGCCGGGGCTGCTCATCCATCAGCCGGATGAAGAGCAGAGTCGCGCTCTCGGCCCTCTGTTTGCTTTCTCGCCAATTATTGCAGCGCCGCAGCCCCTTTGTTGATACAGTAGTCCGAAAAAGTGCTAATGTTCATTTATCAGGGGGCCCGCCGGGGACTCCCACGAGTTGCGATTCTTCCCAAAATATAAACATGGGGCGAGCGTCCCAGACAGAAACCCCCATCTGTTTCCCCCGCGCGGGCCGAGAGCGAGGCGTTGTTGAAGATAAAGCCGCGGATAACGCCGCCTGTCTCCAATGGACGTCTCCCTGGCGCATTAATGACATTCCCGGTGATAGTTCCAGCTTATCTTTCAATTAATCATATATACCTTTTGAGGCCAGCCCTACTGATTGCACGAAAGGGGGGCCGGCTCCGGCTGCGCCGATCGCTTTTCAATTAATAATAATTTATTCGCAGAGAATGCGCATGAACCACCCTGAAATTTGGATTACCTTAAAGCACTAGCTCTTGAAAAAGCAAAGAAATACACGGATAGATGTTCGATCGTTCCTCTCCGTCTCCTTTTGTCTCTCTCTCCCTTTCTCTAGGCTGAAAGCTGTTTGTTTGTCCTGCTGGTTTGGTCAAAGTGCGGCTTAGAGAGGCGGCCAGGTTGGATCAGCCGCCCTTGGGGAAAAAAAGATGTTTCCCTGTTGGGGGCCAGAGAATCAAGTTTCCTCCCACCCAACCCCCAACCATTGCAACTTCTATTTAGAGTTTAAAAAAAAAAAAAATGTTTAACTCAGTCGGAAACAGTGAGGACTGAAAAGTTGCAAATCACTCTTGCACTTTTCCCTACGGAGACCAGCACGGGTCGCCCCACTTTCTATCTTGCATGCATTTATCAGTTTTTGTCCCATCTCTTCTCTCTCAAAACACCAAGGCCTTTTTGGAAGTCAAGAGAAATCATTATCCGATTCACAATGGCCGTGGAGAGTGTAAAAGTCACTGATTTTGTTCAAATAAGGAGTATTTTATTTCCTTCCCTTTTGGTAACACCTGACCCACAGGACTGACAGTTCTAGAAAGCCCCTTTACCGGAAAATAGGAAATAAATCCCCACCGCCTTGATTTGCAAAGGCAATGCTAATTTTTTTCTTTCTCCAGAACTCTCCTCAAAAAAAAAAAAAAAAAAAAAAAACTAAGAACAGGGATCCCGGATGTAGCCTCGATGTCCCCCATTAAACGGTAATATTTCAGGCGTCGGCTCACACTAATCTTTCAAACTGTCATCGCGAGCCGCCCGACCAGCAGATTCACTTAACAGCGCTCCCAGGACCCTCATTCCGAGCTCTTTTCAGCAAGACATTTAATTGAATCGGATGTGGCTCGTTTGCCAGACGTCACCGCCTAAGCGATAGGCCTCCTCTCCAACCCCCACACCCCAAACAATCTTCAAAGGTGAGGCGATCCCCCAAACTAGGTTAACTTGGAGCAATAACGGTAACGCGGCCCAAAGTCCAGGCGAGGAAGGGCCGCAGAGGCCGCTGACTTGCAAATCCGTCCAAGGAGAATTTGGGTTGGGAGGTGAAGAGGTCGGGGGACTAGGTTTCCTGGGCCTGGAGAGCCCACATTTAAGAAAAGGCATCCTCCACAGACTAGGCTAACAATTCCAGACCCCCGTAGTCCCTGGCTCAGAAACTCCAGGCAGGATTTCGGCGTGGCGGCCCGGGCCTGTTACTGACGGCTGGCGCCTAGAAGCCGGGGACAGGGCGTTGCGCGTCTCCAGGGCTGCCCCGCAGGGCTCACCTCTCCATCGCCCTAGCATGGAGGCCTCAGGCCCTGGGAGTGTAGCTTTGATGAGGGACAGGAGACTTCCCAACATTAGGCCAATGATTGACTTCACTTGCTTCGGCGTCTCAGACGGCCCGCTGTCGGGCGTCAGCACCCAAGATGCATGTTCTGGACAGACACCGTTACACTGTTTTGTCTCCATACATTGTGCGCTTCCTCCGCGCCTTGGGCGCGCGTGCCGGAGCTGTGTCTGTGGGTAGCTTTTGGCGCTGCGCCGCCTTTCTTCTACTCGAAGCGCTTGTCGCTAACCCGCCCTCCGCAAGGAGCCAAGCCCTCCATGTCTACATTCTCATTAAATCCACGTGTCCCGCCCACGCTTCCCGCCCGCAGTTCCCTACACGAGCTCGGCGGGTAAGAAACCAACGCTTTTCCACTGACAAGCCCCGTCATTCCCAGCTCTGAAAGGCCTCCTTAACCTGGGGCCGCTCTGCCTGCCCGAACTTCTGAATTGTTCACAAAGCAAAACTCCTCTGTGTAGTGTTCTGGGGAACGGGGGAGAAGACCCCAAGCTTTCATCAGACCTCTCAAGGAGTGTGGGGACCCAGAGAAATGAGGTCCACCCGGGCCGGATCTGGCCACGTAGCTGGCGCTCCTGAAACTGGTAGATTTGTCTGATTTCTGCACCCTACTCTACTGACTCTGGGCACAACTGATCGTGATCACCCCGCCTGCAATGCCCTTCCCTCATGCGCCTGACGGAGCCGCTGGGCTGCCCCACTCGGAGTCGGGCCCAGAGGCCTCAGAGAAATCCTGGCCTGTCTGGGTTCAGAGGAGCCCCACCTCCCTGAAAGCTAAACCTGGGCTAGCGCCCTGAAACCTCGGGGCTGGCAGAAGCCTGAGAGCCTTGCTGCTAGGCAGCGAGGGCACGGGGAAAAAAAAGGAGGCAGGATCGTGGCCTCCAAACAGGGGAAACAAGGCGGCTGGTAGCTAGGGCACCCCGCAAGACAGGTGTCTCCTGAGAAGCTGAGCTTATCCGCTGGGATTCCTGATTTATTTCATTATTAAGGGGAGAGGCATTTCCCTGAGAGGGTACTGGCAGTGACTGACGCCCCCTGGAGTTGTGCTGTGTGTAACACTACTGCAGGAGGCGGCCACTCCCACCCCTGGCTATCACTCACCTGGCCCTTTCTTGCTCTGACTCGCAAAGGAGCACCCAGAGCGTGGGGCAGGGCTATCCCTGTAGGCCAAGCCAAACAGAACCCCGGAATTGTCCAGAATCTCCTCCCCCTGCTATCCCCCTGCCAGCCCAGTCCTCCAGGCTTCTCTTCCTATTCAGACTCTTCCTCATCCCACCACCTTCAGTAATAAAGCCTTCCCCAAATCACTGCCCTCTCCCTGCCTCCCACCCCACCCTTCACACTCCCATTCTGGTTTGGGCGCTGAGGAATATTTCTTCAAATCCACACCCATCCGGCCCTGCACAGAGGCCTGAGTCTGCATGCGTCTACCAGGCTTTTCAGGCTCACATTAGGGAGCAAACGCAAGCTGCAGGAGCAAAAGGAGCCCCTTCCAAATGCGTCGTGGCCCCTTTAAAAAAGGCTGAGCAGGGCTTTTTTTTTTTTTTTTTTTTTTTTTTTTTTTTTTTTTTTTTTTTTGCCGTATGACTATATTAGGTGACACGAAACTGCTCATTGCTCCTGTCATCGAGGCCCCTGGCCCAATGGCAGGCTGAGTCCCCCTCCTCTGGCCTCGTCCCGCCTCTCCTGCCCCTTGTGCTCGGCGCTACCTGCTACTCCGACACATCCAGAGCAGGCTGGCGGGTGCGCGGGCGGGCGGCGGCACCATGCAGGGAGGCTGCCAGGGGACGTGGGCAGCGCCGCTCTCTGACGCCCACCTGGCGCTGTGAGAGACTGGCGCTGCCACCATGTTCCCCAGCCCTACGCTCACGCCCACGCCCTTTTCAGTCAAAGACATCCTGAACCTGGAGCAGCAGCAGCGCAGCCTGGCCGCCGCCGGAGAGCTCTCTGCGCGCCTGGAGGCCACCCTGGCGCCCTCCTCCTGCATGCTGGCCGCCTTCAAGCCAGAGGCCTACGCCGGGCCCGAGGCGGCTGCGCCGGGCCTCCCAGAGCTGCGCGCAGAGTTGGGCCCTGTGCCTTCGCCTGCCAAGTGTGCGTCTGCCTTTCCCGCCGCCCCCGCTTTCTATCCGCGTGCCTACAGCGACCCCGACCCAGCCAAGGACCCTCGAGCCGAAAAGAAAGGTGAGGAGGAAACATAGGTCCCCTTCTTCCCTCCCGGGTTGCTTTCGTCCCCAAGAAACTCGGGGCCAGGAGGAGGAGACACGTGCCCCTGGGCTGAGGGCTGGGCTCCTGCCGGGTCGGTTGCGGGGCGGGGTGGGGGGGACTCCGAATATAAAATGTGTGGTTTGTCACAAGGGGTCCCGTGCCCCGCGTCCAATCGGAGGTTCAGAGGAAATGCTGGATTGAAAGGATCAGAAGCAAGAGGCCAAAAACCGTTCATCTCCCGGCCTAACAAAGCCCCTGGCGGCTTAGGCTCTGCTCCTAGGTCTGTTAGGAAATTGAGGAATCGGTTTATGGTAGACAGAACGGAGAGGAGTAGATAATCTTTGCTTTAAAATCCTTTGGATTTACGGATCTTTTTAAGGATCTGTTGAGAACCGCTGAACAGAAATAGATATGTTGCTTGGCAGACACGCTTTTGCGTACAATTGGAGGAGGGTCCTGGACCTTCTTTCTGCAGCCCACCCGCGACCAGGGTTTCTGGGACCTTTCCTTCTTTGCGCCAGGAAAGTGGAGTCTGGGATCGAGGGCCTTGATTTTAAAATGGGATCCTGCGGACCCTCAGGAATCTGACTTCGCTTTATTTTTTTCAACACAGCTTTCTGACGCGGTCAGGGCGGAGAGGTTCCCTCGCGGAAAAGTTAGGAAATCCTGCGCGACCGCGGGCACAGGGCAATGGACGAGATGAGTGCGGGATCGTCTGGCAGGCCATCCCAAGCCCAGGGAGGGAGGCCGGCCCCACCGCAGAAAGGGGCCAGCTGGGAGACTTCACCGCCCTAGGGAGGAGCCCGGGCAATCCCCGGGAGGCCGCAGGCGCTGGGCGAAGGGCTGCTGTGAGTCGGGAGAGAATTCGTAGCTTTGTTGAGCAGAGGCCTAGGAACAAATGCGGTGGGCACGGCGGCTGGCACTGGTCACTACCAATCTGAGGAAGCCAGCAGGGGAGGTTCCAAGACTGCCTGCCCACCCGCGGCTTCTTGAACACTGCGCAAACCCTGCGGCGGCCAGGCTGAAACCTCTGATCACCAAACCAACATTTCCTGGCTTTCTGTGTCTTGGATTCCTTAATTTTGAGTGAGGACTTGGCTTCTGTTCATTTAACTTCTCAAAGCAAACTAGCCCTAATTAAGTTCACCCCAGAGCGCCACCCGGTTTTATTTTCTTTGCAGCCTGAATTTTTCAGTCGCCCTCTGTCTCCCTCATCAGGGTGCGAACTGCCCCGAGGGCAGAGACCGCTCGTTCTGTTCCCCAGCGCCTTGAGCTGAGCCTGACTTTCGACAAATGCTGAGACGAGTCGGTGGCTCCCGGTGCACTTGGCAGAGTGAGCCGCGGTCAACTGGGCGCTCCAGGCAGGACAGAGTGGCATCCGCGAAGATCCCTTACCATTATTACGTGGCCCGCGTCGGCAGGTCGAGCCTCTCTGACCAAGCGTCTCTGCCTCTCTGTTCCTTCCCCTCAGAGCTGTGCGCGCTGCAGAAGGCGGTGGAGCTGGAGAAGCCGGAGGCGGACAGCGCGGAGCGGCCCCGGGCGCGACGGCGGAGGAAGCCGCGCGTGCTCTTCTCACAGGCGCAGGTCTATGAGCTCGAGCGGCGCTTCAAGCAGCAGCGGTACCTGTCGGCCCCCGAACGCGACCAGCTGGCCAGCGTGCTGAAGCTCACGTCCACGCAGGTGAAGATCTGGTTCCAGAACCGGCGCTACAAGTGCAAGCGGCAGCGGCAGGACCAGACTCTGGAGCTGGTGGGGCTGCCCCCGCCGCCTCCGCCACCGCCTGCCCGCAGGATCGCGGTGCCAGTGCTGGTGCGCGATGGCAAGCCTTGCCTAGGGGACTCAGCGCCCTACGCGCCTGCCTACGGCGTGGGCCTCAATGCCTACGGCTATAACGCCTACCCCGCCTATCCGGGTTACGGCGGCGCGGCCTGCAGCCCTGGCTACAGCTGCGCCGCGGCTTACCCCGCCGGGCCTTCCCCAGCGCAGCCGGCCCCTGCCGCCGCCAGCAACAACTTCGTGAACTTCGGCGTCGGGGACTTGAATGCTGTTCAGAGCCCCGGGATTCCGCAAAGCAACTCGGGAGTGTCCACGCTGCATGGTATCCGAGCCTGGTAGGGAAGGGACCCGCGTGGGGCGCCCCTGACCGATCCCACCTTAAGAGAGGGGCACTGACTCTCCGGGGGAAGAAAGGGCTCCCAACACGACTCTGAGTCCCCTGGATTTCGCATTCACTCCTGCGGAAACCTTGAAACTTCTTCTGTCCCATGCGCGTTTGTTCTTGCGCACGGGAAAGTTTGTGGTGGCAATTAGGCAGCCTGCAATGAGTGACCCTCCAGCCTGGTGTCTTAGCCCCCAGGAGTGCCCTCCGAGAGTCCATGGGCACCCCCGACGGAACTACCAGTGAATTGGGACTGAGAACCCGGACACGCGGGGCCTAAGATCCGGCCGCCTATTCCCCGAGCCTGGGCCGGGCGCCCGGGCCTTGGCTATCTCGCCGCCGCCTGCCCACGCACCCACCGACCCACCCGTATTTATGTTTTTACCTATTGCTGTAAGAAATGAGGATCCTCTTCCCATTAAAGAGAGTGCGTTGACCCCGCACGTGTGCTTCTTTCAGCTTGCGGCGCTTCAGAAAGAGGAGAGAGGTGGCCTCTCGGGATTGGTCTCGGATCTCAGGCACGGGCATTTGCTGGGCAAATTGATAACACTGATACCGATAAAAACAACCCATGCCGGAACCATTCTGGTTCCGTATCGGGCACTTTCTGAGACTGTGTCATATAATCTTCAGTAGTCCCAAAAAATATCCTATTTTAAAGTTAAGAAGCTGAAGGCTGGAGAGGTTTAATGACTTACCTGTGAGCAAATAGCCAGTACTAGCAGAAGTCAGGTTAAATTCGGGATGTCTCACTTCAGAGACCCAGGTCACCTTCCCTGTGCTCCCAGGCTCCCCTCCTTGAACCCTAATGTGTGCCAGACACCGTTCCGGGTACTGGACATTAAACGGAGAGCAAAAGAACCCGTGTCCTCTGCAGCTGGAGAGCACCATGATCATCCCACTTAAAAGAACGTCTTAGCCCGTTTACAGATGGTTAAGCCAAGAACCCAAGCCCTTGTCAAGTGTTCTCAGGCTCCTCAGCATGATGATACCCAAAATGGACGTGCAGCCCAGGAACCCATGCCCCAGATTCCACATCAGGCCCTCATGCAGAGGCTGGGCCCCAGAGAGATGTCTGCAGACAGTGCTCACCGCCAACTGTGGTGAGGCCCCATAAATTCGCGTGGTCAAGGGAACCCCTAAACCCCAACCTTACTGATGTCCTTTCCTTAGGGCATTTAATTTCACAATAGTTCTGACCAACAAATGTTAATATTTTATAGATGAGAAAACTGAGGCTCAATGAAATCAAGTTAAAACCCTGCTTGTTATGGGACTTGCCCACTGCATGCCTTCGTGTTTTTTTGGTGGTGGTGGTTGTTGTTGTTTGTAAAATGAGGTTAACAAACACACTTTGCTCTGAGCCCTGATTGCCCACCAGTCAGCAGGTGCCGGAACCTGACCTCTAGATCCTCTATCGCCAGCCCCAGGGCCAGAGGAACTAACCCAGGATCTTTTTAAGATGTTCTTTCTAAAAGGGACCAAAGCCAGAGGGAGTTGAGGATTTGTTTTCTCACTGGATATGGGTTTTTCTGATATTTTGCCCAGGAAGCACTGAGTTGGAGACCTGGGGCATTGGTGCATGCAGCTGAGAGCTCCCTGATGCAGCCGAAGCATTGCTTGTGGCAGCCAGGGACTGAGTGCTTCTGAACATCCCCCTGACTCCCAGTAAGAGTCACCAGGCTGGCCTGGCACAACCAGGAGCTGTTCTACTGCCTCACCAGGAACCATGCAGCCCTGCCAGTGCCTGTATTGTCTCTCCGGGTAAGTGCCACCCACCCGTGGAAGAGGGGAGGATGCCAGGAGGTTCTAAGTGCTACCACTTGTCCATACCCAGTGTTGCCACTGTATGCAATAGGATACCAGGGAACTGGAGTGCGCGAGCAGTCTACCATTGCAGGGGTCTGGACTGTGCTGTGGGAAGGAAGACGAAAGGGCTGTGCTCAAGGCTTGGCTGAGTGGAAGAAGGGACCTGGAGGTTCCGGCTAGCTGGCAGCTGGAGAAGGCCATCAGGAGTGAGAGGGGGATAATCAGCTCAGCCCTGGCATTCTGCCTCCTGGGCCATCAACCCTGCTGTGAGCCTTTAACATGTTCCTCTCTCAGTCTAATGGAGGGACACACTGAGGCTCCTCCAGGTTGCCAGACCAGCTCCTAAGCAGGACGGTGCTCTCCTGCTAGGCAGCCCCAGCCCCAGCCCCAGCCCACAGCCCCAGCAGGCAGCCTAACTCACACAACCTGGAAATCCTTCTACCTGAAATGACCCACATTTGTTCTTAACCATATCAGTGTGGACTTGGTCCTGCTCTCGTGTCGGCCGTTTTCATCTTACAGGTGTCTGCAGTGACATTAGAAATAATATTTCTTTCACTTAAAGTTATACCATGAGGATATCTCCATGATACCTCCCTCTTTATGCGTCATACTCTCCCTTCGGGGACCAACTGAGTGACCCAGGGTCTCCCGAAGCTTTCCCAAGGCACTCACAAAGGCTAACAGTGACTGGCTGGCATCTGCCAGAGCTCACCAAATGCCAGCACCCCTGGCTACGTGTATACAGGAGTTATCTCACCTAATCCATCTTCATCTGTAAAGCAGGAAACTGAGGAGGTTACGTGGATGGTCAAGGTTATCCAGTCCCTACGTGGGAGTGGAGCAGGAGCTGAGAAACAGACAGGGCACATACTGGGGAGCGTGTTCCTGTAGCCAGAGCCCGCCACATTTCGGATGTCTCTCCAGTAAAGATGACGCAGCCACACTGGCTCCCGGCCATGCTGAGCGACTCCAGACTCTCCAGAGGGGTGAGGATCTCAGGCTTCACATCCAGGCTTACGACGGGACAAGCTGTAGGTGGCAGAACTCAAGGAGGGGGCAGGGACTGCCCTTGCCTGGCTGGGGCAAGGCTTTGCCATCTGGGTGCTGAGTCAGGGAGCGAGGACTCAGGCCCGCACAGGGTCAAAAGTATCCTAAACTAACAAAGCCCGGTGTTTACATAGTGATCCCACCCCAATGATATCGGTGATATTTGCTTCGTTTTCAGTTTCTCATTGTATAAACGAGGCATTCAGGGTAAGAAAACTCAACCAGCACAGAGGAAATCAAAACAAGGGAGAAGCGTGGGGTGCCTGCGAGGTGGCAAAGCCACCTAGATGAGGGTGGCACAGTCATGAGCTGTGCATGCCCAGGGCGCCAGGGAAGCACCTAGGAGACTCATTTTATTTTTAATATATTTTAAAAATTGAATAAGCACACTCCGCAGTTACAGAAATAACTGGAGATAAACAGCGATGTTAAAAAGAAAAAAATCGGGGAGGGGAGGTAGGTTTATTTCTTAAAGAGAGGAGAAAAAAAAAATCAGCTCTGTGGTGCCTGGCAAAGGAGGGCCGGGCCTGGGCGTCCCCAGCACAAGAACCCAAGCCACCGACGACTCCCTCCCGGCCCCAGCCGCACGGGCCCCGCCGTCCCTTCGTTTCGTCGGATCATTCCCAGCCCGCAGGCACAGGCCGAGCTAAGTCAGACTAGCTCCCGTCCTTTTATTTTGTTTAGATTTAAGTCGACGCCACGTTGTGTATCTAAATACCTGTATGTGAAAAGGACGCGCAGAAGCCACAGAGTTCCCCGCAGAGGTCACCACCGACTCGGAAACTTCAAGCGGTCCCGCAGCGCCGGCCCCTCACGTCCTCCCGAGGCGTCCAGGGCTCAGGCCTTGCGCTTCTCTGCCGCAGGCGACAGCCTCACGGCCCCTAAGGCTTGCCGACTCCCCTACCAGGCTGAGCTCCCGGAGAAAGGCGCCTGTGGCCTGCATTTAATTTATCCCTCACAGTTTACCGCGTGCCAGGCACTGTCCTGAGATCTTTACAAGTGAACCCATTTAATCCCCTTTTATACCTCTGGGTTCTCGTAAGGAAATGGTCGAAGAATTCATTTTAACCCCAGAAAGGAGGAGTATGTGTCCCAGGTCACACAGCTGGTCAGTGTCAGACCTTGGTTTCAAGCCCAGGCAGCCTGGTTCTCAGTCCCAGGACTTAATGTGGTGCAATTCCCAGTTCAGGGCCGGCAAAGAGTAGGCGCCAAGGAATGTTTGTCCGTTAAAGAGTACCATCGTGATACTAGCTAACAATTCCTGACGATTTCTATGTGCCGGGCACAACCAATTACAAGAGAAGCACACTTACTCCCTTTGAGTCCGAGAGGAATCTCAGATGGGATGGTGGCAGCTGGGACTCCGGGGGTGCGGCCTGACCCTCTTGCTGCGTCTCAGAGGTGAGCTCAGCCCAGTGGTGAACAGTGAAGAAACCGGGGGCGGCACCCTCAGAGCACCACGGGCTCCCCACCCTGCTGCAGCCACAGCTGCATGGAATAACAGAACGGATTATTGCCTAACATCTGTTGGTGCTTACTTCGTGCCAGGCCCAGGGCTAAATGCTTACCCTGCAAATCTCATTCTGTCATTTTCCAAGGAGGAAATTGAAACCCCAAGAAGTTAAAAACATCACCTACCTGAGGCCACTCCAGTAGTGTGGAGTGGGGAGGCCGGTGCTGGAATCCAGATGGTTCCAAAGAGCCCTGACTCTTCAACCCACTCTCAGCGGCTCCCAAACTTGCCCGAAAACACAAACTGCCTGGAGGTCGGGACCAACCCAAACCCCTGCCTGCCCCAGCTCCCTTGAACTGGACTCCCCAGAAACAGGGCCTGCGAAACTGCATTGGTGTCCAGGTGATTCTCATCAGCTGGCAGGTTGGAGAACCGCAACCGCCCCAGACTGCGCAGGCTCCAGTTCTTGAGGGCCTGGGAGACACTGGAGTCAGATTTCCCCTCTCCGGGCCCTGCTCTTCTATCTCAGGGTCTCTGTGTGTTTGCTGTAATCCAGTGGCTGAGGCTGCTGCACAAGCCAGGTGGCCCTCAGGACCCCGGGCAGGAAAGTAAAATGACAGCGGTTGGGAGAGGGACTCTGGGACATGCCTGTCTCGGTCCAGACCCCAAAGCCATCCCTGTGGCTTGGGAAGCTCAGATCCTGCCCGTGCTGCTTTGTAGAGAAGAGCAATCTGGGGGGACTATTCAGAGACAGTCTATTTGTTCCACCCAAATCCGAAACTCCACACTGGAGTTCTGCAGGAAGGAGACTAGGAGCGAACCAGCCTCCATGGGGGCCATCGTGTGCTAGGCTCTCTGCGTGAGCTCACTGAAGCCTTGAAACCTGCTGTTTATTGTACAGTCCATTCTACAGATGAAGAAAGTGAGCCTTAAAAAGGTTTTGTCGGGCCAGGCATGGTGGCTCATGCCTGTGATTCTAGCACTTTTGGAGGCGGACACAGAAGGATTGCTTGAGACCAGGAGTTCAAGACCAGCCTGGGCAGCACAGTGAGATCTTGTCTCTACAAAAAATCTAAAACTTAGCTGAGCATGGTGGCACACACCTGTGGTCCCAGCTACTCAGG